TCTTCCAACCAAAACTATTCTATGATTCTGTAATTGATAAATAATACATCTGGACTTGATCACTCAAAACCTTCTCTGCTGTAATTCTTATTGTTGCCTTTTAATGTGTAGCAAGCTCCTGTCAGGTTTGAAGCCAGGTAAAGGGAAATCCTAGCAGTAGCTCAGATGGATTATGCTACATTTATTGCAGGAATAAAAACAAAGCTTTTGCCAAGTTGTACCTTTGTTTGCATTATCTGTCATTCAGGAGCCTGTGTGTTCATACTAATGTTGGTCAGGGTAAGAAGGAGGTGGGTAGGTCTGTTTGTTTGAAGAACAGTGTGAATCAAGTTGTTTTCCCTAATATCTGCTTGGCTTTGCACTGTATTCCCTTTTATCTAGTTATAAGTCACTTCTGTGCACGTTTGTGATGCAGCTTGAGTTGGATCTGGTATGTTTTTACCTTATCAGACTATAGGCATGATCATTTTAAGGGGAGCGGCACATATGAAGGAGCCTTCTGGCATGACTTGGAGAGCAGAAACCTAGCTGCTTTCCTGATATCTTGAGAACATTATAGAAGTGGTTATGTGCTCTGCAGGGGATGGTATGCAACCAGTTAAAGCAGGGAGTAGATTTGATAACTCATGAGTTTCGTTCGAGTTCCATTGATTAAACATCTTACAATTCTCATTAGTTATATAGGACTGGGGAACAGCAACTGAAAAAGTCCTGAACTCTGGACTTTTACCTGTACTTGTCCATTTATTAAGGACTTTGAGCTTCTTGTAGGTATTGCCATCCTGCTGTGGTGAATAAAAAGATTGTGAACACAGAGGAGCATTATGTAAAGTCTTGTCTTCTGTTGAAACGTTCTGTGTGTTCTTTATTAAAAAAACACCAAAAACTCAAACCCTCTAGAAGTATTAGCGTGGTTGTTGGTAAAAATGGAAAAAGCGCTTCTGATGGCTAGTAAATCTTGAGCCGCCTCTGAGCCCACTGCTTATTTCTGTTCTCTAGTTGAAATCTGTCGTTTGATACAAATATTCTGGAACCTTAGGAGAAGTGTATTGCATTAGCAGGAAAGTCAGGCTTGATTGAAAAATGACTTCTCAGAGTGCTTACAAAGGTTAGTTGACAAATTGAATTATTTTTAAAGCATTTATTGTTACTGCTAGATGCTTGATTTTTAACTGTATCTCATCTCCTTTGTTTCCTACAGATTTGGAACCAGTATTTTTCTGCAAAAGATACAGTTTATGCTGTTATTCCTGTAAGTAGTTCCCCTGTAGTTAATGTGCTTGAAAGGCCAGTGTGCAAAGCTTTCCTTTCTGACTGTGATTCTGCTGCTTTTAACAGCAATCATTGAAGGAAAATGAGGTTTCAAGAGCAAAATTTCTTTCCAGATAGAGTGACTTTATTGCCCCAGATAAAGGCTTTTGTTTCCAAAAATGTGTATCCCGTTTTTTCTCACATCAGTCTCTGTAAAGCTAGTACCTTTTTCTGCACACCTGGCTTGGATTTCCAGGCATTTTTAAATTACGAGTATCCAATAGTCTTCACAGGACCCTAGTATCTGTTAAGATAGCATTTGTACTTTCACATAATTTTTTCTCAGAGTGCTTGTTTCTCTCCCCCCTTCCCTGCAGCATGGACAGCTAACTCAAGTTTAATATGGCAGTACTAGAGTATTTGGCTAATAACTTGCACGTGGCTAATCACTTATGACTTTCATACATTTAAAATTATTGGCAGCACTGTCTTTCATTGAGGTTGTGCGGTGCTTCCTGTGATAAGATCATATTTCTTATTCCTGATAACTTTACCAGATGTTAATTGTTCCTAATCTGCATTAGGCTGAAGGAGGTTTTTTGCTTTTGGGATTTCTTTGCTTCAGAGTCTTTATGTGACTGTGATCTCTTAAATCTGTCTTTTCACAGCTGGGCATGAACTGTCTGTTCCTTGAGTTCTTGAAACCTCATTTAGATCTGGGGTCTGATTTGCAATTGTACTTGGCCCTTTGAGCTGCGACTGAGTTCAGTGGGAGGCTCTGTTTTAAAAGTATGAAGTGCTGTATGCTCTGAAAATGGCAACGCGGGATTTGAAGTCAAGTAGCTTTGTGCTTCAGTTTTCACAACACATGGATCTTGTGAAATATTTTGAATTGCACATTTACTGCAGCAGAGGGTCAAAGCCAGGGACTGCAATTAAGACAGTGTAGATCTTTCATTAGTGGGGCTGGCACCGTTCTTTGGTGCTCTGTTTTAGAGGAGCTTTGGACGCTTTTAAAGCTTTAATGCAAACCAGAGCCTAGGCATGTTAGGAAGTAGTTCATGGAGTCATTGAGGGGGGAAAAAAACCCCTGTCTTTTGCCAGAAGCTTTTTGTTGGCTGGAAGAAAGGCCTCGCATAATTCTCAGGTGCTCAAAAGCACACGTGGAGGAATTCCGTGTTGATGAATGGCATATGTTTTCTTTCCTGAACACCTTGGAGTAGGTATTAATATGTGGTGCTGAGAAGAGAAGAGCAGGCGAAAGATTTGGGCAAACGCAGAGAACACATGAATGAGATTGCCAGATTTCATCAGGGGTGACCAAATAGGTTTGTGGTTTTAATATAAACCTAAGTATGTTATTTGAGTAAATATCTAGGCTGCTTTTTAATACTGCAGAACAGATGACTATGATGTAAATCCACAATTTGGGGCCAGGGTTGTATCATCTTGCTCAACTGTTGACACCACGTGATGCAGTGGAGCTATTACTGAAAGAGGATGTAATGTAAGCCTGAGGCATGGGCCCCCCACCTGCAAGGAATAAAGCTTTGGGTCCAAGGAGTTTACTGCTGGATCTTAGAGACAGCATTGTTAAAACAGGATACCATTGACCTTTAGGTAACTAAGAACTAAATACAGTTTTCCATGCGCTCATTGTTAGCTGTTCCCACAGTGAGACCTTCTGTAGATAGAAATCATACCCTATAAAGGTTAAGGCAATGATTCTGAATAACTGTGCATCCACATTTGTGTTATGAAAATTTAATTTCTCTTTCTCCTTCCCCAAAGGCAGCGAAGTTTGATGTAATGTGGAAGAGAGCCCAGAAATGTCCATCGGTACGTATAGCAGAGACTTGCCATGCATGGTTGTAAGGCTGTAATGCCTTTCTCCTCTCTAAAGCCTAATTCATAAACTTTTGATCCCTCTGTATTCAGACTCATTGCATCAGCTCGATTAGTAAAATCCAGATGTTCAAATGCTTGTCTTAGTGTCCAAATAAAAGCAGTGTCTATTCATATGTATTGAACAGTTAGATTTAGCTATCAGATATCTAGATATAAGAGATGTAGTGCTCAGAAACCAGAGCACAGAATCTCCCAGGGAATGGATTTAGCTACACGCTTCTTATTTCCATTAATTGATGCCTTGTGGTTAAGTCTCTTCCGTGCAGTGCTGTGAAGGGCCAGGCTGTTTAGGCCAGATTCACTGATGTTCCCACGAATCTTTCCTTATTGCTAAAGCGTCTGTGCTTTAACCTGGAGGAACTGTTGTTAGCTGTAGCTATGTGTGTCCATGGCATTGTGTTGCATGTATTTGGAGAAGTGAGTTCTCTTGTCTTAAAGGTTGGTGTGAGTTGCTGCTCTTTATGTTTCTTTACTGGCAGTCAAGATAGGCAGAAGTATCTGAAAGGGAAAAAGACAAGAAATCAGTATGTTTGGGTTCTGTCCACCAAAAGAGCTGAACCTGTTGTCTGTTAGCCTGCTTTTCTTCACCATAAATGTGTGTAGCCACACTTCCTTCACCATGCTGGTGATCTGTGATAGGTAAATGTTGGTAAGCTAGTATGAGCCATTTGCATGGAAGCCATACTGGGCAGGCACTATGCTGTGTCAGTAATGGATCTCTGTCTGTAAGGGAGTGTGAGGTGTCAAAAAGGATTGTATGGCATGCACTGCAGTTTTGGTGGTGTAAGTTCCGTTGCAGAGCATTGTAATTCAACAGCTGTGATGGGAAGGAAGTGGGGAATTGGGTGTAGTTGAATGGTTTGTTACAGATACAGAGTAAATACTCTGTGGGTTGTGTCTTAGGCGCGTGCCAGCACGGCAAAGCATAAAATACTGAAAATGCGTAATATGGTTGTTTCAGAAATTAGTAGATTCCCAGGATTTGGGTTCACTGTTTCTCACATGGATTGGTAGATATCTTGTAAGCTTCAATTAGAAGATTCCTATGTAAATGAGCATGTTGTTGCCTTGAAGAAGTTAAACTACAAAAGAGCAGAACAGCTAACAAGCTAAAGGATATCTTTCTCCAGTTTCGTACCGTATGCTGCTGGATTAGTATTGTTTTCTGTTGAAAGTAATGGTTTTTTACAGTAGTTTGTGTGCTGAAGCATGGACTCTGTGCAAATTTCACTGTGCTGAGACAGAAGTGGAATGCTTCATTCCTGTATGAAAACAAAGTAGCTGCACTGAGAGGAGTGCTTTTGTAGCATGAAGTGAGAGACTACTGAATTGATGGATCGGTCCTGTGTATTTCACTTGCCGAGAGCAAGATCAAATATGTCTGGCTTCCTGAGCGACCTGGAGCTTGGAAAGTTATAGCTTTAAGTGCATTTCTGTACAATGCATTGGCATTTAGTCAGGTATCCTGCATCTTTTTCTTCTCCCGTGTTCTTTCCTTTGGTGCGGGAAAATGAGCAAGTCCCTAGCCTATGGAGGAGAATAGACTGTAAATCTCTAGAGAGAAAATGCTTGCTGCCTGTTCTGGAACAGTTGGTGTAATTACAGGATTAAATACTCTGAATGCTCCTTATCCTATATTTGACCATTTCTGCTGTTAATTTTCTAGAAGTGAACAAAAAGGTCAGCGTCTGAATGTTCTCCACTGTCCTTTCCTTTCCCTGTCTCCTATAATACTGATAAAAATAGGTGCTCACATATTTGCTAATGAAATAATACTGATAAGGTAATGCTGGTTTATTGTATGCTTTGAAGTCTCGTTTCTGCTGTCCTGTTACTCCTGGTGGGGAAAATAAACCCTTTTTTCTGTTGTGATTCTAAAACATTTATGCTGGCAGTCAGTATGACATGAGCATCATTTTGTTCTATGAAAGGGAAGATGGGGTGTTTTTATCATTTCTCTGCAGTTTCTGTATGCTTTACCAAGAAAAGAAGGCTATGAGTTCTTTGTGGGGCAGTGGTCAGGAACAGAATTGCACTTCACTTCTCTAATAAACATTCAGGTGAGTGGTTGAAATAAGAAGACGAAAAATGACTTAGGATCCAGAAATATATGATATCAGAATACTACAATATATAATATTTGCTAAATAGTTTAATGAACAGATTGTCTAGGTTAACTTGAAAAGAATTATCAGGGGGAAACTGCCAATAATTATGGGTAAATTAGTAAATTAATGGGTATGAAGTGTCTCTGTCATCTAAAGGAGAATGAGGTAGAAGTCAAATAGTCTCAAAACAGAAGAAAGAGCCAAACTTTTTAAACTGTTTGTGCAAGCTGTTTAAAATACCAGTAGATGCTCTAAGATGAAATGCCTTTCTGGAAGTTGTGGGTTCTTTTAAATGCGAAATGGTCTTTAGTAAAGAAAAAAAACAACCTAATTTTGCAAATCCCTCGTTTTCTGTAAATACCAGGAATAATTAACTTTTAATTAGAACTGACCCTTAAGCCCTGAAAAGTACCTCCATAGCAGTTAATACTCTTAAGTTTTGTAATCAAGCTTCCAAATCTGTAGTAGTGCTGAAGTTCTTTATGGCACACTGACAGGATTCTTTATTTCTTTCAGACCCAAGGTGAAGCTGCTCCTAGTCAGTTGGTCCTGTACCATTATCCTGAGCTGCAGAAGGAAAAAGGGATAGTACTAATGACAGCTGAAAGGGACTCCAAGTTCTTGGTAAGAGAAATAGGCTCATTGGCTTCCTTCATTCTGTGCTGCAACTCCTCCTACAGTTTTGAATTAAAACTGAATTAAAGTGAAGCCTTTAAAAGACCCTTGCCCAAATAGTGGTCTTACTAGGTTTCTTTAATATAATCTACTTAGTACTAGGGGAGGCTAGAAGGCAATCATCAGTCTTTGTCTATCTGGTGACTTCGGCTCATGCATTCTTTTTTTTTTTTTTTTTTTTCCCTTTGGGGATTATAGTTTATTGTTGTAAACAAAAGAAAAAGACAAAACCAGAAATGCATCTGTTTTTCTTATTAATGAAAGCTGTTGCTACCTGCCAACAAGTTAAAACAGTGTTTCAAAGCTTAATACTACTTGTCAAATGAGGAGACCTCCAAAGCTTTGTGTTAGGTTTTTGCATGCCTTTGGTCTTTTCTCTATGTGTGGGTGTACTGTTTGCATCTGTAATAGTACAGTGCTAGGACTAATAGCACTAGGGATTATCCTGGTGGAACAAGAAAACTAAAGCATCCCACCTCTGACCTACTTATACCAGTTCTGAAATGACGTGCAGAGGAGTCATTGGTAATGCATTTGCCCTGTTGTATCTCAGAGTAAACAATCAATTTTTGCAAATAGGTCAACCGTAAGAAGGGAAAGACGAGACTTTGGTGCATCTCCAGTGCCTTAGAGTGGGCAGAGATCATGAAAGACATATTTGACCTCCGAGGTCTATGCTTATCAGGAGAGTAGTTTAAAGACACAGTGCTGAAGTGTGTAAGTAGGTCAGGAACAAGAGGGAGGTGGTTTGTTAAGAGATTTGCTGAACTAAGGTGACTTGAAATGGAGTCACTCAATGAGGACTGCAGCCTTTCAGCTGCTGAAGAGTCTTTTTTGATGGGAGACTCAAACACAGCAACACTCGATGTTAATACGTTCTTTGTTTTAACTCACAGGTGGTCCATGAAGCCCAGTGCTTGGCGAATCAGGTGCAGCTTTTCTATGCGACGGATCGTTCAGAGACCTATGAATTGGTGGAGACCTTCAACCACAGATCTAGTGAATTTAAATATATGTCAGTTATAGCAGAGCTTGAGCAAAGCGGACTTGGGCGAGAACTGAGACCTGGTCAGGTTTCTGACAAGTCGTAGAGCCTGACCTGCAGGTGAAGCAAGCCAGCAGTAGGCAGGGGGTCTCCTGGATAGAGTGGCCTGTCTCTTGTTTTACAAATTCGATTTGGCTACAGGAAGGATCTAGAGACATCCTAGGGTGATAGTCAAGGCTGTCTGGCACTGATGCAAGATGAGGACTTGGGCCATCTGAACAACTGTAACTAATAGCCATATTGGAGGCCTGTACTTCAGTGCAACTTCATCAGAAGGAGCCGGTTTCCTGTCTTGTAACTTACTGCTGCGTGCTGTATTTTTGAAAGCAAATCAGGTGACAGAAGGGGAGCTATATTGACATCAGAAGAG